CCCCAACGCAAAAATACATCTTGAAAACATGCATAGACATGTGCAACTATTTAAATGAGCAGTCAGAATAAGTGAAAAAGAGCCATTTATGAATCATGAGTTAACTGGCTATGCTAATCAATTTCCTGCTTCCTGTTGATAGGCTCGTATGAGAGTCGTGCAAATGACTGAATTGAGGACTTGAACCTAGACTTCAAAAGCACCGGTTTGGATACTGAAGATTATGACTGCTGTTTCCAGCAAGAAAAAATTGTGTCATGATCTTGCCTATGGGTAAATCCAGAAATTAGGGGTCCAAAAGTGTGATATTTTTGTGTCCCTGTTACATCTGACCTTTGTTATTTGACCTCGGAATATCACCAGAATTGATTTCAAACTATTACTATTTGTTTGGCAGGTAATTTGCATTAATTCGTCACTCTTGGAAATTAGAAAATGTGTTCTATGAACTTACAAACTCATATGTCAGATGTGACAGGGACACACACAAAAATGGACCCCTAATTTCTGGAATGACCCTTGTTTAATGAATTGCATTAAGCAGAAAATTTGCCAAGTAACTTCTTTCTCGATTTTCTTGACAGGAAGGCAAATGAGCGCAAGGCTGAGATTATCGGTAAGATGAGAGAATTGTGTACAAAAATCAAATCTCACAGGCCACTGAAATTGAAGTTTTATCATTACACTCACTTGAATTATCAACGGTGAATACGATCATAATCTTCAAAATGCCCCTCAACTCAGCAGGTAATATGCGGTATTACAAACTGTCAGGAATACTCAAGACCAGATACAATAAAATCTACTTTATTTTTAAGGAAAGAGTTCCACATTCGACCTTCACAAATTTCATTGACACTAACAAGTTTGAAAAAGGATTTTAGCCGGGAAAGGGGGTCAGTACCCAAGGTGAGAGGCCATTGTTAGATCTTTGACCCCTTTTCAAACTTGCTGCTGTTTACATGAAGTTGTCAAGTCAGGGAGGCTGGACACGATAGCTTTCTGTCAATTTTAATAGAATACAACAATTCACTCATTTTGTTATACTGTGGCCCCTTGATGTTCATGTTGGAGAATTAGTTGGGACAAGGGGGACATTTTGTTGCCTCCCCCAGAGTCTTCTCTTGCCCCTCCCCATTCCCCCAGTTTCTCGACCCCTCGCACACACACACCCAAGTGTGTTCATGTATTTGCCTGCAACTGGGGACCCCCTATTGTTCCTCTTTTGTTTGTACTTTAGAAGACCACCCATATGTTTTGTACACAGTTGTCAATCGGGGACCCTCTGTCAATCAGGGACCTTATTGTCCTCTGTTGTCTTTCGCCTCTTTTTGTCACCTCTAGAAGGCCGCGGTGACCCTTGGGTCACTCGGCAGCAGCTGAGGGAGCTGTACCAACAGCTCTTGGTGACAGACCTGGAGTTTGCCCTGGACAAGAAAGTGGAGCAGGACCTGTGGAACCATGCCTTCAAGAACCAGATATCAGCCCTGCAGCGCAAAGCCAAAGACAAAACGGTCAGTGGTTTTTGTTACGGGGAGGGTGGGAACATGGATGTGGGCCATCACTGGGCAGGATATCATTGTCCTGTGTCAAGCCAAAATAACAGCTGTGTACAGACACGTGTGACATGAGGTTGTTCATGAGGTAATGTAGGTTACCATTTTGTGTCCAAAGTGATGGGATGGTACATGGTGCATGGGGTCAGACTAATTGTTCGGAAGATGGCTGTGTCTTGGTAGCACGACGAATGACGGGCCCAGGTTTGATGATTGTTTTATGCGGTTTGGGATCAGCGTGCCTGTGAACATTGGAAGCAACAAGGCTTCTAATCTGGCAAAAAAGCCAAAAGAGATCCACTGTGTTGCAAAAGACATCCCATGATATTTTGAGGAAGAACTCTGCTGAGGAAAACTACTCCAGTTTTGGTTAATACATGCCAAGATCCACCATAAAATCGGCTTTCGGCCAAGACAATTATTTTTTTTCAGTGTACAGCCTGTTGCAGAAAAGGAGGAATTAGTTTATTTAGTGTTGGTGTAAAATAAAGATTCTACAAGCTCCACCAATGCACTGCCATAAAGAAAATCAGCTGAAAAACATTAACCCTAACAATATTGTTTGGCTTACAGTACTCAGTACTACAAAATACTAAGTAGTAGTCTGAGCCTGGAGGACCTAGCACTACAGATTACTACTTCTGGCTAGGTTACTTCCATTGTTACTCGTACAGAGAACAATAAAGCCATGCATTCATAGTGCCACAGCACTGTATGGTACAATGTCTTTTCTACTGTATTTTATAGCTTCAGAGAACAATACGGTCATGTCCTCTTACAAGCGGCAGCACTGATTACTACATTTTACTACAAGTAGTAATTTGTAGTATTATGTAGGGTTAGGGTTAAATGAGATGTCAACATACATAGGCCTACATTTTAGCTGTAAACCTTTTTGAGTTGCAACTGTGTGCTTGAATAATGAGGATTGTTTTGTTCTTGTCACAGAATCCCAAACGCAGTGAAGTTCAAGCCATGTTGACCCTTTTCCTTGACAGTGGTAGCGGTTTCTACTTGCAGGTACTGTAAGCTCTAGAGGCAAGAATGTCCACAAAACTGGTCAAACAACTTGTCATGAGCTCTGAAATTTTACAGGGAAGGTTTTGCGGAAAATGAAAATTGGGACTCTCACGTTAGCAAAAAAAACGTTCCTATTTGTTCAAAAATGCAGCGTCTGATTTGAATGTGTCGAAACGTTGAAGGCTTACTTATTTTGTTTTTCCCCCCTGAGCATGTTTGAGGGGGAACCTTTCCCTGAATCCTCCAAAAATCCATCGTTGGGGATCGTAGGAAACCTTTGGCCCCTTTTTGTTATATTTGTACATTCAAGTTGCATAAAATTCCATGTATCCCAAGTGCAAATGGCTCAGCGTCCAATCCTGAGATTATCTTTTAATGCCCCTTGGTGGCTTTTAAATGTATAAAGTTTACATTGATCAGAGCCAGGAACTCTGAATGCGGTTAAAGGTGCTCGTTCACCAGATTTGTCCAATAGCCTTTGTACTGATCTTCACAGACTACCCTGTTTCATTAGGCACATTCTGAAAAGCCTACCAGCTGCCAGGGTTCCACAGTGGTTATATGGTCTTCATGAAATTGATGCCAGCTTGTTGGTAGAATGAAGATAACATGTCTTACTCTCTTCTTGACTGTAGCTGCTCCAGGAGTTGTGCAGTTCCTTCCAGTTGGACATTCCCTGTTGCGTCAGGGCGCCCCGCCTGGGTATGGCCTCGGAGCCTACCACAGCCACCAGCACTGGCCAGCACAAGGCGGCCATTCCCGCCACTGCGTCTGTTCTGTACATCTGCCAGCACTGTCTTGTCCATCTGGGAGACTTAGGTGAGTGCTCTGGATTTGACCAGCCTCTTCGGTATTCCAACTGCCCATGCAAACTTTTTGATAAGCATCACCATTCTGTCCCAACCTTCCCCTCCCCCCCCCCAGCTCGCTACCGCAACGAGACCAACCAATCCGAGAGCTACTACCTTCAGGCTGCCCACCTCGTCCCCTCCAATGGCCAGCCCTACAACCAGCTGGCCATCGTGGCAGCCTCCAAGGCCGACCAGCTAGCCATGACCTTCTACTACATCAGGAGCATCGCTGTCAAGCATCCCTTCCCAGCTGCGGCCACCAACCTGCAGACCACCTTCTCCAAGCTGGTGGACAGGTGAGCAGCAATCTAGGAAGGATTCAAGGACGTAAAAAAGTCGCAAGCATTTTGGGTGTGCTGAGAAGATTGACCTGATGGAGAAATGTAGCAGTTAGGTCATCCTGCACAAGAGTGTCCGTTAATTAGACCATAAGAGTTGCTGGGTTGATTTCTTACCCTGATGGCATTCGTCAACATAGTACTAAGATCACATCATATAAGGCGCTTATCACAATTCAGAATGGTCGACTTGGAACGCCTTGTTCTCATTTCAGAACGGGCCGCCATTCCAATTGGAACACAGCATTCTCTTCGGAACACTGCCACGGAACAGTCTATGTCCACAGTGGACTGTTCCATGTTGTGATGGAATGTTAGTGTTGCAGTGGGAACTGTCTAACAAAACCTGACTGTTCTTCGTAACTGGGTTACGGGCACAAGTCCTTGACATTCATAGATAACAGTGTTATTTGCAGCCTTGGGCCGGACATCCAGACACTGCTGTTGCTTATCACATTCCGAGGGACAAAAAGCCTCAAAGGCAGATTATTGACCTGCATTCCATGGCTTCTGTGAAGGTTGTACTTTTAATTAGTCAGTAAAACACTTCTAAAAGCATTTTCATTTGCCAAAGCTGCACATCTTTAGTCCTACTTTAGACGCGTCGTGAAATCAGGAAATAGTGAAGAAGAAACTCATAGTTCAGATTACGAGTTGAGAAAGTTAAAAACGTTGCCTCTTTCTTATGTTCAGTGAGCTCAATATTGTGCACATCATGTTCCAGTTCTGCTCCTCCTAGCTCTACTTTGCTTGCTAATGATATGACTTTCTCACTCCATTTTCTCTCAGGGATGAGGTGAAGCTATTCAAGATGAAAGAGATTGAGTTAATCCATTTCTTCATCAAGTTCCACGCCATCGTCTACCTAGCTGCGGGGGACCAAGGCACGTGCTCTCTCAGGCATCGGGAAGGCATTTTGGTTTATGGTGTCTGCCCTGCTGAGATTTAGTGACTTGCATCCATTTTAAACAGTATCGTTTTGTTAAGTTGGATGGCTCGATATCATTGATGATCATCTAATGGAAGAAAGTTGCAGTTCACTTGGGTCACCTTCTCTCTCAAGTTGCCAAACCTAGTTGGAGTTCTTGAGCTGATTTTAGGTCGTGGCATATGCTGAATTCTGGAACTTCCATCTTTTATGCCACATTGTAGTGTGCGGACTTTGTGTGGAAAATGTGCACATACAGAGCCTGTACATATGACTTGCTGACTACAGTTTTCTAAGTAACAACCTAGTGGCCTTTCTGTAAGTATTCAGGGTTAAACATAATCACTAACCTGAATTCATTTGGGTCGGTACCAAAGAATGCCACCCTCTTTTATTTTTTGGTGTACCCCCCAGACCTACAAATTGCCACGGCCATCAAGGAGAAGCTGGAGGAGAACTTTCGCAGCCACCTGTCCCAGGAGACCCTGAGTGCCCAGCAGCTGGTCCAGATTGCTGCCATCAACCTCTTTGCCTTGCACTGCATCTGCCTGCGCCAGCAGGAAGCCCCCGAGGGCACCGTCACCATCCCCACTGCGCCCACTCAGCCCATGCAGCCCACACCCCAGGCTGAGACGGCCAGGGGGGCTCAGGGGGAGAGCCAGGCGGCCGTCCAGGACGGGTGCTATGCCGCCGACGAGAGCAGGACGTGGAGTCTAGTGTTTGGCCTGACGAGTGAGTATTTGGATTGGATGCTCTGGTAGATAGAGGAGGGAAGCTTGATGTTCCCTTTGGGGGGGGGTTATTAGGGAGTCAGGTTGGGGCAGTCAAGCCTTTCCTCACCTTCCACCTCCATGATCTGGGCTTGACTCCCTCCCCGGCCCGCAATTTGATTGGGTTACTAGTCCCTACTTGATTCCACGGTGTTTCCCTTGACTGTCATTTTAGTTATTTCTTCCTGTGAATCCCACCTCTGTAACTGAACTTTCCGTGGTCGTCTTCATTCTCTCAGCTTCCTCAGGCAGCAAGGCTTCAGTGCCAGTGTACTTTTTTAGGGACCCTATGTTGCCATTACCAGAAGGAATGGACATAAACAAACCGAAGAATGTTTCATTGGTAATACTACAGAGCATTGGAATTTTGAGGATTCGTAAAGCTTTATTACCAACTCTGTCTCGGGAGTGAAGGTTACAGTGAGTTGTGTCATAGATGAAATGTGTAACTCCTTCGTCCGTCTTGTGCCATTCGTAGTCACCCTCTTGCAACTGATGCTACACTATACGCCTGGTAAGATGGATGGCAAGCCGCTGCAGTGGTGCGGACTACCAGCAGTCAAGGTCCTTCTGGATTGGTTGGTCCATCAGCCTAGCCTTTTCCAAGACCCCTTTATGTCGGCCAAATCTGTGTAAGCCACAATCTTGTTATCACCACCGCATGAATGTTACTGCAATGTTCAGTTTGCTGTTATCGTTGAGAGCTGAAAAAGATGTCTTTACACAAGTTCCCTCCGGGGCACTGAAACGTTAGTAAACAATTTGTTGTTGATTCTGTTTGAAGATACAGGCTATTTTTCGAACCGAGTCCTTATGTCTGTTTCCAGCTTCAGGATCCAGCTTCACAAGTTTAAACCCCCGACTGTGATTCGGGCTCAAACTGTGTAGTCGGCTTGCTGCCGTAGGAACTGTGGAATTTCACAGTTCCAAGCCAACATATTAGGTCTTTGCATTTGGCCCATTTAAGTGTCAGGTGCCTACAAATGGGTCTGGAACCAGACCCAAAGCCCAACTGAAGAAGAATCTGATTCCCTCTAAAATCTTGGCACCACGTGTCATCTCTGTACACCTGTCAACGTTCGTAGTGGAGACTTGTCCGGAGATACTGGAATCAAAGTAAGGAGTGGGTGGGGTTCCTCTCAAGGTTCTCAATGTGCTCTGTGCGGTTCTTTTCTGACTAGGCTGTGGGGCAAGCTTGCCAGGGTCCTTAACAGCATCCACGTCGATTCCAGCAGCAGCAGCAGTTCCCCCAAGCACAGCAGGGTCCCCCTGCCGGAGGACATCAGCCTGGATGGATTCCTGCCACTGCAAGATGCCCAAGGGTGAGTCTTCTCAACTGTCTCTGACAACAACCTGTTCACTTTACCCTCACTGAAAAGTGAAAAGTCAAATGTTTCTTTTGAGTGATTGTCAGAGTGATGCTTCCCTGGCTGTACTGCATAACAGGGACTTTGTCTCTAGCCAAATGAATTTGGACTCGGCGTACACGTACCAAGAGGGATTTTGATACTGACTTGTTAGTCCATTTCTTACTGGATGTTAATGCCATCCTGTCTCGAACACCTTAACTTGCAGTGCAATCCATAAAACAATAATGGTACTGCTTGACTTTCTTGCTGTGTAAGGGGCTAATAAAGGCCATTCATGAGTGCAACTTCTTAAATCTGCTTGACAAGGGAGAGCTGAGGACCGTCGTGCAAGCCCCACAGTTATAAGAACATCATTACTTGGTTCCACAGAATGAAGCAGTTGGAGCAAGTTTCACCTCAGTTGCGCAGTGTTGTAATGGTTTTTGATTTTGGAAATCCCATGTCTCACAGATCCATAGAGTTTGCAGCCAACCAGCAGTCACTCCCCCAGGAGACCCAGTGGACGGAGAGGGCCAACAGGCTGCTGGCCCACGGCAGACTGGTAGCAGAGACGTACCCAGAGTGAGTTCAGCGTCCTCACGCACCCCTCATGCATTTGAGCAAGAGAGAAAGAGATGAACATTCCAGATTGTTCCCTGATTTTGTGTATGTTGGCTGAAGAAGCTTGTGATAAGGTTCCAAAGAAAGGATGAGAGAATGCAAAAGGTTCCTAAAGATTGTTTAGGTCACCTCCCCTCTCTGGCTATAAGGAATGCCTGGAAAGCCTGGCTGACCTGACTTAATGCCTTCTGTTTTCTTCTCTGTGACTTTGAGGCAAAGTTAAAGTAATGGTTGGAATCACATGTTAATTGTCCATTGGACATTGAGTGAAAGTTCCATTTGTAGGTCATCATTAGGGAGCATATTATGATGCGGACTGATCGGAGCTATCCATTCTAAATGCTGTGTTCTCATTCCGGAACAGCCATTCTGCTGGGAAACATAACATTCCCACTGGAACGCTAGATTTCCAGTGGAAACAGTCCAATGAAATGCAAACATTTCTGACTTCTGAGACGCCTTAGCTTCTTGTTGTGTATAGGCTACTGTAAGTTTTGGAATATAAGCTGCTTAGTGTATAAGCCGCAGCACGCAAAAAACAGCAAATTAAGATTTAAAGTCGGCATATAATCCGCACGGCAGTGCTGATGATCCAACCAATACAGCATGTACAGTACATCCGTGGTTCCACTACCTGTGCAATCCTAAAGAAGTTAAAACAAAATGCGAACGAGCGTCGCCATAAAAGTGAATTTTAAGTCCTCATATTTAATATTTTTGCGGGCTGGATGGTGGCCCTGCGTGGGCCATGCATCAGCTCCTGTCTTTTTTTCCAGTGGCCAGCAAAATTTATGCGGTTTGGGACGTACAATAAAATCTTGGTAACTCAAAGTAATAAGTCGAGAGATCGTTTCATCTCGTAGTTCGATTATTTCCTGCCAAAGTGAAAAAGCTTTTTTAAAAAAAAACCTGTGTAACTGTCCACAACACTACATCCAGTTATCTCACAGTTTTTGCGACGCTGATCAAGAAAACACCTCCAGGTCACTTCAAAATGAAAAGTCTGCCGCGAGACCTTGGTTCGAGTCGTCACGTTAGAACCGCTTGTGTTGCATGCATGCTGCACGCGGCATGGCACACACACGCACTGCACGCACCACTTCGATTACGCAAACCCTTTTTTCAGGCTAGCCTGACTGTTGCCAAAGATCCATTCATGGACAATCCAATCGCTGACTCTCTCTGATAACCATGTGACCACAGAAAGTGTTGGAATCAGAAAACCCGAGTGAAAAAAAAAAATTCTGTGGCATGTCGCGCTGAACACAATCGGCGAAAAGACGAAAGATCTGCTTCACAAAGTTACACCATTGAAGCGATTGATTTTTATTTAACGGTAGAAAGAAATCTTTAGGTTACAACAATAAAATGATCTCAGTAGAATGATTATTCGTCTGCAACAATACACCATGAGATTGAATAAAATGCTGGAAATAGTCACAAAAACTCTTGCCACAGGGCAAGTTTAAGATTACGTACACATTTTACATATGTGTTTCTTGACTTTATGACTCAGGGTATTCCGTTAATAGCTTGAAATCTGGACAACTCAAATTTTATTTATTCTCCGAGGTTCGAGTTTCCAGATGTAAACAGCAACCAACGTGACTGTGCCACTTGCAAGTGGTACCCGTGGCCGGGCCGTGGCTTTTGTGACTGATTTTATCCTTCAAAGTTTGTCGAGTCACAGAGACATTTTTCAACATATAAGCCGCAGCTTATATTCCGAAAATTACTGTTATTTCTTCTTTTACTACACACTTATCTGTTAATGAGCTGGAGTTGCCCGTTACAAAGCACAAGAATGCTGAAAGGATGCAACGGATATTTCAAAATAACCCATACTTTTTTTTTCTTCCAGTCACCTCAAGACAGAGCCATCAAGCGAGGACGCCGCCAAGTTCACCTTCACCAGCCAGTGCGGCGAAGAGCAGGCGCGCCGGCCACACCACCCCAAACAGAAACAGTCCAAGACGTCACAGCAGCAACAGCAACAGCAGCAACAACAACAACAACAGCAGCGCCAGCAGAGCAAGCACCAGCAGGCCCCATCCGGGCAAGGGTCCGGCCCCCACCGGGGTGGGGCCAAGAAGGCTAGGGAGGGGCCCAAGAAGAGAGACAGCAGCACGGAGCCGGCCATTGGCGAGAGGGGGGCGATCAAGGGTAGCGGTGGAGGCCGAAAGGGCAGTGACGGGAGTGTGGAGAACAAGACGCACAGTGTTGCCATTCAGGTAGGCTTTCATCACACAGAGCAGATACGCTGTGGGCAGATTATTTTCAGATTTTCTCGACTTTTAGTTCCACGTGTGGACATTTTGGTTTTTTCCTTATGTAAGGTCCTGAAGTCACATTTTTATGAAAACATTGCAGGTTTTGATGATCGGAATACAGTGGTTTAATTTTTGAATTTGTGTCCTTATTGAAAGCATTACATGGCTACTCAGAGTGCCAGTCATAAGTAACCAGGTGAACAAAGAAGAATGCTTTTGTCACAGTTCATTTGAATAGCTTAAGATTTGATTTTGAACGGATGGTCTTATAATAGTGTATGGGGCCCTGTGATGGTCTTAAGATGTACAGTCCATCATTTGTCAATTGTGCATTATGTACCTTTGAGGCAACCAAAAAAGAGTACCTTTGAACAAATCTGACGAAAGTTCATCTTAGCCAACACCTTTTATTCCCAAATAACCAATATTTTAAGATTTCGATTTCAGATCAAAAGTTGCAAATTCTGCCTGAATTCAGCTTTAAGGACACGTTTTCACATTCAGTGAAATGCAGCTGCATGATGCCGCGCAGTGAAGCAATGAATTATAGAAACCACCAATGTCCATGTGTCTTGTCAATGCTTTCTCATAATTCTCATGGCAATCTTCCAAAAATGCATCTTAAGGTGCATCGTAGGAAATGATCTTTCATTTTTTTCTTAGAAAATGACAGTTTGCCAGAGAGAATAAGAGAGAAGGGAATTTACTCCCATAACCATCTTTAAACCAAGTGTGCTTTTTAACAATAATTTGATCAGTTTTTTTCTGAATAACTGCAAATGATGGACTGTACCTTTAAGGCGTCACATCTGTTTTTAAACTCATGAATGCAAATAGTGTGTAGTAACACTGTTCTTATTTGGACCCCTGTGTTGCCATCACATTGTCAGACATTTTCTAATGGATGCTTATACACATCAAGTAAGATTATCTGACTTTGGAAAAAGTACAAAATTGTAATCACTTCCTGTTGCAGTATGTAGGTTGGAAAAATAGGATTAGATTCATTGTTTCCTTTAAAACATATTAATACACAGGCCATTCTGCCAAGACCAAGTCAGTCCAAAGCCTTAGAAACAGCCAGCAAGTCAACGGAACCCATCCCAATTCCAGGCACTGCACACAACCGGCAAGGTGACGGCAGGGTCCTCCAAGAGCAAAACCCTATCCACTCCCCAGGCCAAGGCAGACAACAGCACCCTTACCACTCCCCAACACACTCCCCGAGCAGCGGGTTTAGGCACCCAGTGGGGCAGCCCATGAGGCATCACCCTCCCCCACCTTGGCCCAACCATCCCCACGGTCCCCCCCCCCCTCCCCCACACTGTTCCCCCACACCC